CCCCCACATGAATCACCTGGCTTAGCGGAATAATGTCGCAGATCCGTCGGTCAAGTAAGCCTTCAACAACCTGTGGCCAATCTTCCGCTGAAACCATTACCCTAGGAGGTTTCATCCATGTCCTAACAGCTTCGGGCTTCAAATACTGTCTTGGGTTACTGAGGAAATCCTTTACTCCCCCAGTGGACACCGCTGCGCCATCAAGAGCCCCGGCGAGCTCTCGCCGCGGAAGACTGTGCTCAATGTTAGCCCACTTAAACGCCAGAGCACAATGAACCTCTTCACCATAAGCGTTGACGCCCTTAGACCTCCAATAGGACTCGATGGGTACATCAGCGAAGATTTCGGATCCCAGCTTTGAGAGACTGCGAAAAGACTCACAAAACTCTCGCAAAAGGCTCAGTTGCACAGTGGTGGCGGGACCCTCAGAAAGCGCAAGGGTTCCAACCGAGAGCCAATTGAGCGCCCTGACGGCGGCCTCCATCCAGTCGCGCTCACCCGGAGGCATTCCCCATGGCAGCGCGGGCAGGGGAAAAACCTCTGCCGTGGATTGATGCTTGCTTGATTCTCCCAGCGCATCCGATAAACTACACGTTTTCAGGAGAACCCACCGTCGAAGGAGAGGACCCAACTGCAACAAAGGCCCAGTCAAGTCAAAAGGCAAGCTTTGGCTCTCTACCTCCCGCCATCCAGGAGGGTTTGCACTTTGGGATGCACAAGGCAAGATTTTGGGCCTGGACAAACCCCCCTTTTCGGCTCGAAAGGGCGGGTGTGATGGGGGCCCTATTTTTAAGCTCAGAAGGCCCTTCAGACAATATAGCACCTACCCTCCCGCTATCATAAGGAGGATTCTCAGCACTGCGGGGCGAATCAGAATCGGAGATCGTGACTGCGCTCTCTACTCCTTTACTGCTACAACTTCGCTGGCTTGGGCTGGGGCTCCCTTCGCTGGTCGCCCTTTTCCTACCGGCTTGCCTTTCCCTTCCTTCCCCTTCATCGCCTTTCCGCCCTTGTCTCCCTTTGCCAACACATCTTCCCATCCTGTCCTGGCCCAAGGGTGGTCCCATTTTCCCTTGCCCTTGGGAGGAGTCCAAGAGGCTCTCACCTTCTCCTCTCGACGATGCTCTTGAGCTGCGGTTCGGCTCTCTTCGGCGGTAGCTAGGGATGACACGTCCGGGGGGATTAACTCCAAACGGTTTGCCATGACAGGAGGTACTCCCTGGCTGATTTGCTCCACTGCTTTCAGCCGCTGCACTCCCACGTCTAAGCATCTCAAAACATCTCCCTCTAGCAAAGCATCGAGGCAATGAGCAAGAGTCAGATACTCCCTCCTCATAGGAGTCGAAACTCCCGAATGATTGAACACCTGGCGATAATACTTCACGAAAACAGGGACGGGTCCCCGATCCTCCATGGAATCCCCAAAACTGTTGAGGATCCTCTTTCGTGCCTCCTTGATGGCGTATCGGGCCAACAAACCTGGACACTTCCTCGAAATGTGCCTGCATTGGGCTTCTTCGGGGAACAAATCCTCTTGATCTGAGACCTCGGGACTCCCAGACCGGCTGCTGCTGTTGTTTGAGCTGCTGCTCTGTTCTCGCTTTCGCTTCAGGCTGACACGGGGCTTGCGGAAATTTGGGTCTAGTGATGATCCTCGCTTTGCCCTTCAACTTCTTGGGCTTCCCTCCAGCGCCTGGGTCTTCTCTTTGAGGATGGGGAGGAGGAGCTGATGGTCCAACCCCTCCGGGAAACACTCCGTACCCTAGATCGCGAGCCACAGATGCGAGACCTGGAAGCGCTGTTGCCTCTCCTCGGAGATCTAAGAGGTTTGACTTCCACTCTAACATGGGGTCCACCTCTCGAGCGTCGTGAACACAGAATAACCCCTGAAGTTGAGGGTCTAGGCTCTTCAGGAGGGGCTTGCGGTTGACATAAAACTCGTCGGTGTGGGATCTCCGCCATTCTCTCAACGCTTCGTGCGGCGACCCTGTCAAAGCTAACTTCACCCACTGCCCCTCCCGATCTTCTACGAGCCCCTCTACTTCCCCCACGCACTCTGAAGACTCTCCCCTGTACGTTCCCCTCAAGTGAAATTGCTCCCCGACCTGCGGATTCCAATCTTGAACAGCCTTCCATGACGCTGACTCGTCAGCCCGGTGTTTACCAGGTCGAGGATGGGATCTGCCTCTGGCCCTTGCCCTGGCCTTTGCCTTTGGCTGGGCCCTCGCCTTTGGAGCCACTCCCCTCCGGGACTTGAGGATTCCAGCTGCTGCCACTGGTTTCTTTCGCGGGGACATCGAAACCTTCGGTCTGTGATGTGCGCCCTTCGCGAAATGCACGTCCTCGTTCTCTATGTTTTTTGCCCTTGTTTTTGGATTTCTTTGACGGATGCCAATCCTCTTGAAGGTGGTGAGAGTAGTCTACCTCCTCCTCCGATTTCGCTCGCCGCTTGGCAGAATCTCGATTGGCCTTTGGTGGTTCAGGAGGCTGCCGCTTCTCT